TCATCCAGTAAGAACTCGTGGACAGCGTTTATAAACTGATGGATCATTGATTTAATTAACCAGGCCACTGAAAAGAAAAGACTGATTTCTGAAGGTAAATTGGACAAATACGGGCGCTCCAACGATAACACTCCCGAGCACTGGAAGAGATCTTATGTAGATCTACGGGATGTCGGCACAAAAAATGATTCCGTTCAATCGACACCCGAAGCATCAAAAACCCCCGGGCTTTTATCCACGGAATCAACTTCACAACCTCAAAATTTAATTCAAGAAATACAACCGGAATCTGCAAAAAAAGTAAATGATTTTTAGATTCCTGGAAAATAAAATTATGGTGACGGTAGCTCATGATCTTATAATTTTGTAGAGGAAAGCTGTGGATGAATCTGTTGAAGAAGAAAAATCATCCAAGAAAGAGAAGAAAGTCAAAAAACCAAAAGTCAAGGAACATATCCAATCGGAATCAAGCACAACGAGTATAAATACAGCGAAAGTAATTATTTATGTTTTTATTTATGCTTGACGTTTGCGCGTGAAATTTCATCATGTATGTCTACCACTGGTTCAATGTAGAGAAAGTCGGACTCTGATGATAACGATGATGATCAAATGGAAGGTTCGACTGCGGAAAAATCTTCAAAGAAAAAGATGAAAAAGGAAAAGAAATCATCTGAAAAGGAACGAGAAGAAAACGATGATAATAGTGAGTCAAAATCAGAAAAGAAAAAATCGAAGAAAGAAAAGAAGGAAAAGAAAGCAAAGTCAAAACCCGAATAATTTCTCAAATTTTGGATAATTCTCAGTTGTGGTAAAATATTTGAGTGCCTTATCCGTTTCTTATTTGTATATGTGAAGGCTGTCTTATGAATAAATCGCCTTTTTTTATTATACTTCTATAAAAATGTTGAGAATGCAAAGCTCTATGCAAAAAAATGTATCTGTAGATTGAAATGAAATATTAATGAACTTGGACGTATTACATGTCAATTAAATATACAGTATATAGATATTAACTAATTATAATTTTAATAAATTATAATATGAAACATAAAGTGCATAAAATTTTTGAAATTTTCTAAAATTCTTATTTTTATTTATAAATTAATAAAAAGTTATTCAATTAAATAAAGTTTTATAAATATATTTTAAAGTGCAAAAAAGTATTATCAAAATCATATTATTTTAATTTCAAATTACATTTGTTAATGGTAAATTCTTTCATATAATAATAATAATAATCACTAGTCGAAATCGGATTATTCGGCAGTATGCCACTCATCAATCATTCGGCATATGATAAACAATATGTAAACAATTCGTCAATAATTCGACAACGATTGACGAATTATTGACGAATTGTTTATTTTTATGCCGAATGATTAACGAGTGGCATATTGCCAAATAATCCGATTTCGACTAGTGTATTGACTTATCTTGAAGTATCTGTTAAAGCTAAAATGTAAGATTTCATTAATATTACTGTATTATTGTATGAATAATAAAAATTAAAGTTAATTATATTTTTTTTCTGATCAAGTCTATTTTCTATAAGTTTTACTATATACTATAATTGAAAATTTCTCTTGTCTATCTATTATATCTTGTTAATTTAATAATATAGCAAATTAATTATTATATTTGTGTTTTTTGTTCTTTACTTTTTTATCTTTCTTATTAATATTTTACTTTTTTTTTATTATTAAAACTATTTATATTCTTAAATTTAAAGCTTATAAAATATCTTTGTTATTTTGTTTTTTATTGTTCTAAATATATTTTTTGTCTTTGATACACTTTTCTTAAAATTCTTTACTAGTCAAAATAGTGTCATTCAATATGCTACCACTTATAAAACATTCAAATATATAATTATTTAACATAATACTACTCAGCAACAATTTGACATATGTTGAATTATAAAATAATATTTTATTTTTTGTAAATTAATTATAATACTATAATTATAAAAAAAAATAAAATAAAATTTAAATTATTTTTAAAAAAATTAAATTTAGATACAAATTGTTTTATATCTAATTATAGTTAAATTTTAGTGATTTTAAATATTATACTTGTGATTTAGTGAAATTATAATTAAATATTTACAAAAATTATATCAATTTGATATTTTATATATAAATAAAATAAATTGGTCAAAAATATTATAAATAGGAATTATACATTCATGTTTAATTGAATAAAATTTAATATTTCATAATTCAACATTCGTTTCATTTTCTGAGCCAAAATGAAATCTCACATCTATTAAATTAATTGGTTTAAATCATATACAATGTGTTACAAAAGTTTTTGAACTGATATTTTTTAATATAATTTAATAAATAATTATTTAACTTAGATAA